GGCAAAGCCAGCCACACAGGGGCTTTCCTCCTGCAGCAGGGAGCCAGCATTTGCACTCCAGCTCTGGTGTGTGCCAAGTCCTGGAGATTCGCTGAGCCGCCAGCTCGCCCAGCCATGGGAGGAAGCCCCGAGCCTTGTCGTGGGCCAGATCAAGACCCGCAGGGCCTGGATCCAGCCCGTGGGCCAGAGGTTCCCCATCCCTGCTCTGGGCTGTATGTTCCTAGCTGGTTTACGAGACGGTCACGCGTGTCAGTACCAAACAGCCTTACTCAAGTCAAGACATCCACACGTGCCGCTTGCCAGAGACTCCACGAGCACATGTATAACCTGGTCAAATATTGGAATAAATTGCCAAGGGAGGTGGTGGAATCTCCCTCTCTGGAGATATTTAAGAACAGGTTAGATAGACATCTGTCAGGGATGGTGTAGACGGAGCTTGATCCTGCCTTGAGGGCGGGGGGCTGGACTCGATGACCTCTCGAGGTCCCTTCCAGTCCTATTATTCTATGATTCTATGATAACCGTTGACAGGAACAGAGTGACTGTACATGCAGGTCTCACCACCCGCACACTCACACTTAGATACACCACGATGGCCCGATCTATACGCTGCACACACATGTCCACCTGCACACGCATAGGTGCACACACACACACCTACATACACCACTAGCATTAGATTCTTCATCAGCATGCCTGGTGCAAGCCAAGAGAAGCTGGAGGGACCACAGAAGGGTGGGCACCCTCGTGCCAAGTTCCAAGGTGTGCCCGTAGCCGCCCTTCCCAACACACCAGCCCACACGTTCAGGCATGCCATGGTACTCATGGGGACACCTGCATGCCAGACATGCCAGATCCTCAGCTGCCCAGCACACCCTCCCCCGCTCCTGGCCCGCTGGGCAATGGGCCACCCCCAGGCACAGCGAGGGGCTTGGCACACGGGGCGCGGGCCCAGAAAGGAAACTTTTGTCTGCGGCAGACGCCAGGTGCAGGCTAGAGCAGCCTGAGGGCTTCTTGTGGCAGCCAGGAGTCCCCAGGGGACCCCACCCCCGGGGCAGCCAGGGGGGCAGATCCCCCTGCAGGGAGACACCTGGGGCCGGGGAGCCAGGGCAGGGCTCCTGAGCGAGGGGCTTGGCACACGGGGCGCGGGCCCAGAAAGGAAACTTTTGTCTGCGGCAGACGCCAGGTGCAGGCTAGAGCAGCCTGAGGGCTTCTTGTGGCAGCCAGGAGTCCCCAGGGGACCCCACCCCCGGGGCAGCCAGGGGGGCAGATCCCCCTGCAGGGAGACACCTGGGGCCGGGGAGCCAGGGCAGGGCTCCTGAGCAGCCAG